AACAATCTACAGAAATACACTTACTACTTTTAATAAATTACAGAATGTCAAAATACTGTTGTTTTGTTTTTAAAATAAGACTATCACAGCTAGTTTCTCTTCAATTAGTTTTTAATGACTAACGATAACTGGAAAGTTTTATCTCTCACTATACAGATCCAAGATGCATACCAGAGTAAGCTACAAGTGGGGTGTGTGTGTGTGTGTGTGTGTGTGTGTGTGTGTGTGTGTATGTGTGTATGTGTGTGTGTATGTGTGTGTGTGTGTGTGTGTGTGTGTGTGTAAATATGTGAATGGGTTGAGCCTATCCATTAACCAAAATGCTACAATTCAAAATGCTCAAAAAAAAAAGAAAAAGAAAATTCTTTGCACATGATGCCTCAAGTATAAAATCCCACACTATGCACAAAATTACTGAAAATATTATATAAAATTACCTTAAAGCTAAGGGTATAAGGCATATATGAAACTTGAGCACATTCCACTTTTAGAACCTCAGTCCTATCATGATGATATTTATCCACGTTACCTGTATACATAACCAATACTCAACTCTCAAGTAGTTAATATCAGTCCCCAGCGCCCACAGGGAAAATCCACAACTATCTTTATCTCCAGTGCCAGGGCACCTGACGCCCTCTTCTGACCTCCATGAGCACCAGGCACACATGTGGCATTCATGAAGACAAGCAGGCAAATCATTCATACATATAAGATAAAATCTAATTTTCTTATCTTAAATCTGAAACATGCCTGATCCCAAGCATTTCAAAAAAGATTCTCATACATAAACAAGGCATGCTAATAAATATACACTATAAAAGCACAAGCATACAGCTCTACAGCTATGCCTCTTTCGGATGTTATAGATAGAAACAAGTTTTTCTTTCATTTGCTTCTAAATTAGGTCGATGTTCCAATAATTCACGTTTACAATCTCATAAGACCCTAACATGATGGTATGGAGAAAAAGTAGAGTCCAAATTCTGTCTCCCTTTCGTTCTCCAGTCCCACGTGTTCCATATAATCACTAATCTTCTAAGTGACTCTATGAAAAACTCCCACATCTTAAAAACATACTCAACATCGCTGATAGAGGAGTCAAGTAGTTTCCACACTAACACACATTTAATTTGGCTATGTGCTGAAATAGCTAACTCTTTATAGAAAGTATATCTAATAAATATTTCTGGAGTACTGATTATGTTACCCAGTCATGAACATGCAAGTGTCAATTAACTAGAAAACTCAACTATTTAGGATTAAGAGTCACCTACGCCAGAATCGACAGTTTATAATGTACACTGTAATAAAAGTTTGCACGCAGGAGCTACCACACCCATGTACTCTAAGCATTTTAGTTTATTCTTTCATTTAATAGCCTAAGAACCCTATTAGTAAGATGATATAAGTACCCTGCCAGTGATTCACTTTGACTAAGTGGCAGTCTTCATTCCGAACCAGACTGACTTTTTAGTGATTAAACCATAAATTGCAGTGAGTGAGAGAGAGAGAAACAGACGTCTTATATCATTAAACTGTCTAATCTCAAGAAGATCTGACTCAATTGATTTTTAAGTTATTTTTAAAGTAAGGATTTTTAAAGTTCAGTGGGAAACGTACTTGCTTATTCCCTGGATTCCAACTCTAGACAAATACGCACACACCCATAAACATACACCCATTCACACTTACAGAGTGAATTTTTTCCTCATTTACGTCTGTTTACCTAATAAATTATGTTCTCCTATCCCAAAAAACTCATGGGATAGCATATCCATTCTACAGAAACACTGTCCTGGAATCATCTCCTTCCTCTCTGTCTGTCAGAACCCTGCAAGCATATTGAGGACAAGACACTGCCAGTGTGTGTGCCCAAGTGTTTATAAAGCACCTAAAACTATTTCAAGTGTTTTTAAAAATTTGCATTATATGATAGCTTGTTTTCAACCATTGTCTAAACATTTATCATAAGATAAAGGCTTGGTCTCAAGGCAGAGGCATTGTGGCCGAATCCCAAAGACAAACAGGGCCCTAGAAGGGTCAAAATTCCCATCTTCTAATTCTTCAATGTCACCTTCCTACTAACCCAATATTCTCAACTTCTCAGGAAAAATGTAGGAAGAAAAAGGGAGGTACATAACTTATCAATTGGTAATTATCATCACAAAGGAATATGGAATTTCAGAATTAAAGAAATTAGGCTTGTTGAATCAAATATCATATAAACTTGGTCCCTTAGACCTTATAACTAGAAATGTCTTGGACTTTAAAAAACTGGCAGTTTCTCCACCTCAAACTCTCATTTTAAACATTCAGCTCTCAAATCACAAACGGGTTTGCATACTTATAATCTCAGAGGAGGGTAAAAGAAGCGGCTCAGGAATTGAGGTCAATTTCAACTACACAGGAGACCCTGGCTCTCCACCTCTGGAGAGAGAAAGTTTAATTCTTCAAATTCAAATAAGATAGTGTACAGTGCCTAAACACATAGCAACTCCTCCGGTGTATATATAAATATAAGGTCTACCAGTGATGAGGGATATTTTCAACAGTCAAATTAACATGATGATGCTAACCACAATAGTTACTGCAGTGCTAAACGTAAACAACTGATCAAAACAAATTTATAAAAAGAAAAAACAAAACTGCAAACGATAAAACAAGCACAGCATTCTGATTAACAATCAGGTAGGGTCATCTTTCAAAAGTCTAAAAATCTTCCAACTCTAAAACTGAGTCAACTCAATCAAAGAGTAAGTATGAGCCAAACCTTGTAAGGACTATGGAATGTCAGTATTACTATCATTCACAGATCAACAGGTTGTGGAAGGGGGGACGCTTACATGAAGAAAATCCTGTTTCTATACTCATTAGCATCCCTAAGTCAAGACAACTGTGCCCTATTCAAAGACTGTATTCTAAAATAAAGGCTGATTTTTTTAAGTGTCATGGGGCTCACAAATTAGGGTATTATAACACAAGCCCCAAAAGTCAGCCCTTTAAATCAACGGCACATATTAACATAGCTACTGTCTATGTCCACAGCAGCAAGCAGAGCTGACACTAAAAACTCCAATTTACACCTCCTCTGTATTACAGGACACTTCCCTACACTGCTTAGTTTACTGGGCTCTAAAGCAACTGATCATCCTTCTCCAGTAGAACACTATACAAGATCTTCTTAAAACTTATTTCCTTCTTCTAGGTAAAAACTAATATTTGTTCCCAAACTAATCAACAACCCACTGCCACTATGAAATTACCAACATGAACTCCATTTTCGGTATCAACTTTTACATAGTTTCAGAATCCCACTGGGTTTTGTCTAGACAAAAAGCCCTCTAGATCTACCAATACTCCTTCAGTACTTACCACAAGGAAGTCCTGGCAGTAAAATGCTTGTATCACCTCCCACTTCCAGGTATCTTGGAAGTGAAATCGTAAGCACCATCTACAGCCCCCCTTAACGGCGCATAACACAACATACAAATTTAATCTAGACTCTCACATTAACGTAAAAGGAGGTAACAGGGCTAAGAACTGTGGCTTAGAACCAAACATCTGGAGAGTAGGGCTATGCAAACTGTGGATCAGATAGCATACCATGTATCACACTGCATTCCATGTAGATCAGAAAACTTGCCTTACAGCACTGGAAATGCACTGAGATTCTCAGTCTGTAAGTGGCACTCAATCTCAACATAATCTCGTCTCCCTCAGAACCAACCACCCTGACTCACCTACCAATAACAGGATTTTCTTTCCTCTGCATCACAGTACAGAAATGTGTATGTATCTAAAGAAATGGGTACGTATCTCTCCTTTTTAATAAATACTGGTAGAACATCAGCTGTAAGATTTAATGATGCACTGAGAACCGGTGTCTGAGCAATCTAAGTTTTATTCCTCCACCTTTCCCATCAGCAATCCTTCAATGAACGACATCTTGCAGTATTCTGATAAACCCAGACATTTAATCTCCTAAAACTGGTGGCTTTCTTTCACCAATCAGTGCCATCCACTGATTATCACGTTCACCTCCCTTGCATGAAAAGTGAATTTATCCATTTTTTTTTCACCATTCTTAAAAAGTAGGTCTCTAAACTAGTCTCAGATCCCAGGATCAGAACTTACAAAGAGACTAGCTCCTAAACCTGGAGTAAAAAAAAAAAAAGACACGCGGGAGAAACCCGGGCTACTTGTTTCAACAGCCGGGGGAACAGCAGATGAAATACGTCTTTACAAGGTAAATCTTGGGTCCCCGAGAACAAGGTTTTCTAAAACAAGCAGGGGTAGCGTGAAGGACGTCCAACAACTGGAAGGCAGCGTGTGTCTTGGGCTCAGCCCCAAGATCCAAAGGTTGCCAGGGTACAAATGGGGCTGGAGGGGGGATGCTGCCGCAGGGTGGGTTTTAAGATGGTGCCTTCTCCGGGAGGCCGGGAGGCGTGGACCCAAACGCTTCAACAGTGCTCCCGGGCTAGTGTCCGAAGGGTTTCCGGACTCGCAGCTCAAGTTTCATCAGGGAGAAAGGAGGCGGCGGCGGCAACGTGCATCCCGGCATCCTTAACCTCAGCCCAGACAAGTCCGCGCTCTCCGCTTCCTCGGCGGGCGCACCAGCTCGGAAGTAACGGTTCCCGGGCAGCGCGGGTCTGCGCGCCCCGAGCTTCCACCGCCCGCCCCGGGTGGCGGTGGGGAGGGGGGGGAGGTGGAGGCGCCCAGCGCCACGACCCGCGCGGGCCTCGGGGGGTGGGGGGCGGGAAGCCAGCGGCCGGCGCCTCGTTCGCTCTCCCTGCCTTTCCCGGGCCTCGCCCGGGGCGCGGCGAAAAGTTTCCAGGCAAAGTCCGCGGCGGCCGCTCGCTCGCGCAGCCAACCGCCCAGAACAACCGCCCGGCCTCGCCTCGCCTCGCCTCGCCTCGCCTCGCCGCCGGGACGAGCGGCCCGCGCCCGCCCCGCCGCGTCGGTCTCCCCCTGCCCCCGCGCCCACCCGCTTCACCTACCACAGAGCCGGGAGAAGAGCAGCAGGGGAATGAGCAGCAGCAGCAGCGGCGGCGGCGTCGGGGCCGGCGGCAGCAGCAGCAGCAGCCCGGCCGCGGGAGGGGAAGCCGAGGAAAGTTGTGCTTTGCCGCCTCCGGGACACAACGGGGCCGGGCCCGGGGTCCGCGCCATGCCCGCCCCTGCCCCGGCCCACCCGCTCGCCCGCGCCCCGGCGCCTTAGGCTCTGGGTGGCGGCGGCGGCGGCGGCGGCGGCCGCGGCGCGGAAGGGCCAGCGCGCGTGTCCTCAACCCCCGGCTCCTGCGCCGTCGCCGCCCGCCGCCACTCGGCCGAGCGCTCGCGGCCGCCTCGACTCCGCCGTCGTCGCCGACGCCACTGCCGAGGCTGAAGCGGGAGCCGCCCGCCGCCGCCGCCGCCGCCACTCCCCTCCCCGCGGTCCCCGCCCGCCGCGAACTCCTGGGAACTCGGAACGCACCACCCCGCCCTGCGGGGAGGGGGGGGAGGAAGCCGCCGACCCTCACCGCCGGGACGAGCCCGCCCTCCCCGCCGCCCGGCTGCCGGGACGCCCAGCCGCTCGCCGAGTCCCCTCCCACCCACCCCCCGCTCCCCTCACGCTCCTCCCCTTGCAAAAAAAAAAAAAAAAACCGAAACTTCATCCACTTGGAAAACCGGGCTTCTCCCGAGGCAGTGCGATCTGGACCAGGGTAGGCGGCCCCGCCCCTCGGCCCCGCCTCGTCTCCCCCCTTCGCGGCGCTTGAGATGGTCTCGCCCACTCCGCCCCTCGCGGGGGCCGGGGGCCGCCGGGGCACACCGAGGCTCACCCAGGCGGAGGGCTTTCGGGACTCCCAGTCCTGCCTCTCTTCTTCTCCCGAGGGGTGCGGTCCCTCAAAGGGACCAGGGACGAACCAGGGGGCGTGCGGGGGAGGCAGGGTTCGGATGCCCGCTCTCTCCGGCGGCCGGAGCGGGAGGTGCCTGTTTGGGAAGCTGGATGCTGCTGCCCGCTGGACCAGCCTTCTCTCCCTTCTTCACCCGGGCACGGGGACTGAAAGGAGACACTCTCTCTCCACTCCTTCCTCCTCCCCCGGGGCATCCCCGCTCTCCGCTGTCCCGGGCCTGCGTTAGGGCACTCGAAGCCTTCGGATGGGAGAAATCCATGGCCTCCTGTTGCCGGTCGCCTAGCGCAAGAAAGTGGACAACCCGTCGGCCCGAGAGAAGCAAAAGCTAAAGAGCAAACCTTCCTGGGGGTGGGAGGGCCCTAGTGTCCTCCGCCAGCTCCGCTGACCCTTCCACCAAACCGCCCTCCCAAAGAAAGGAGCAGCACTTCGAGTGCGGTCGTGTTTTTTTTTTTTTTTTTCCCCTTTGATCGTTTGCATGTTCGCACGTGTCATTTTATTTCTTGCTTGTTTCTCTTCGAGCTCTTCGCAGAAAAGTGACCTCGGGAAGTATTACACATTTGCCCATAAGAGGAGCGTCTGTGATTCATCACAGCCCTCCCTCAACCCCAAATGGTTGTCTGCCTGCTCTCCTCGTCCATCCACCACACACAGCCAAAGTGACTTGACCTTGAAGCCCCAGCCACTGTAGCTCTGTAGGGGGAAGGGAGAGGATGGACAGTTTGGGCTTACTGCGGGGCCAGTGAAAGCGGAGGACACCGTCCTAAGGCCTGACACCATTAATTTTACGTAGATCCTGCAGTCTCCATCAGATAGCTACAGATGTGCTCTAATAAGAATAAGATCAGCCACCCAGAGATGAGCCTGTGGCAGCTAAACTAAAGCTTGCCTTGTGCCCAAGAGCACGCTGTGCTCAGACTTTGAATCACCGGGATCGCTCCACCTTCACACACTGATTTATGATGTTTTACTCACCTCCAAGACCACACAGCCTCCTACCCAGTCGGTCTCTCGGTGTGTCTCTCTCTTTCTCTCCCCTCTCATCTTTCTCCTCACCTGTCTCCTGTCCTGTCTCCCAGCACTGGGACTACTTCTATTCATTACCACCACCCGCTCCCCCTTCTTTCTCCTCCCATCTGTCTGCCCCAGTCTTTGCTTTCTATCGCCTATCCTCAAGGTTCACTTATGAATAAACCTTGCCCCGCATTGCTGGGGAGTTCCCCTGATGATGCTCATAATTGACAAAATGTAGCTATTGTGACATTCCTCAGCTGTGCTGACACCACTGTTTCCCTTGAGAACATTTCTTCCCTATTTTCACATCCCCTAAATCTAATTTCACTGCTAAATTTAGACGGAGCCCACTGCTGCAACTACTAGCTAATTATCTGTTTAGATAGCACTTTAACACGTTGTTGCGATTCAGTTAAATGTTAAACAACCAAAATTTTAATATCGTTAGCCAATTTCATTTCCCCAGACTTTCCCTGATGGTTCCAGATTCCAGGAAAAGTAATTTAGCTAACATTTTTAAAGGTGCCAAAGGCTTAATTCAGGGGCTATTGTGCAATTTGCGGCAAGGACCATAAGAAATTAACAGGTTGAGGATATCTCAAAAGGATGATCTGGAACTTCTAAACTATTTCCTCCATATATGGAGACAGTGAACAGTGGCTTGCTGTGATCATATTCTCTCACCTAAAATGAAGCAAGAATGTGGAAGAACAGCACTTATAGACGTAATATAAAGAGTAAAAAGAACATTGTGCTGGTGTTTTATGTGAATACATGCATTATGTTCTAATAATAATAATTTGTGTTGCTGTGGCATCTTCAGCCAGAGATGTCAAAGCTCATGATCATATCACATGGAAGGTGGCAATTACTATTATCCCGACTTGACAGCTAGAGGAACCTAGGCAGAGGTTAAGTGCTCTGCAAACCCTGCCAGACATGTGCAGGTCTATTTCTGCCAGAACTGCCTTCTTGCCTTCCAATGGGCACCACCGAGTCCTCAGGATACCCTTTTAAGTAAAAAATGCACTTAGGCAATATGATTTTCTGCTTTCTAAATGTCCAGTCTGAGATTATATTCTCCTTACCAAGCTCTAGTTTTCCTGATGGAAATTATTACTAGGCACACACACACACACACACACACACACACACACACAAAGATTTTACATTTCATAGTAAAACTTTATATCCCCCAAAGACTAGAATTAGACCATTACTGGACTTTATAAAAATCTGAGTTATCTTTTACAGATAAACTCACATTAAGAATATGATTGAGCCGGGCGGTGGTGGCGCACGCCTTTAATCCCAGCACTCGGGAGGCAGAGCCAGGCGGATCTCTGTGAGTTCGAGGCCAGCCTGGGCTACCAAGTGAGTTCCAGGAAAGGCGCAAAGCTACACAGGGAAACCCTGTCTCGAAAAACCAAAAAAAAAAAAAAAAAAAAAAAAAAAAAAAAAGAATATGATTGAAAAAATAACTCTAACTAATTCATTAAAATTTTTGGCCTCTGCCGGGCGGTGGTGGCGCACGCCTTTAATCCCAGCACTCGGGAGGCAGAGCCAGGTGGATCGCTGTGAGTTCGAGGCCAGCCTGGACTACCAAGTGAGTTCCAGGAAAGGCGCAAAGCTACACAGAGAAACCCTGTCTCGAAAAACCAAAAAAAAAAAAAAAAAATTTTGGCCTCGTTGTATATTGAAATATATATTTACATGTTAGGAAAAACATCTGAAGAAAAAGTAACACAATTCTAACATCAACAGTAGTTTCATTGTTTCACGTGAGGTATATGGGGTTTGATCCTACTTTTAGTTTTAAAGACCATTTGCCAATTATCGGAGTTCATTAACTCTTAACTAAAAAACAAAGATTGTTGTGTGAACAATGAAGTAATTATGAGCAGTGCTGGGGATTTTAAATTGGTTCAAAAGTTTCAGACTAGTAAAACTCAGTGACCAACTAAGTCCTTTGTAGAACAGGTTGGACAGTGTATGCATTAACTAAGTGTCCCTATCATCAGGAAGTTTAACCCATGTGACAAAGCATAACTTTTCCTTAATGGAGGAGAAGAACAATGGCTTATAGAATGTTTGAACTTAGGTAGCATACATAACACTCTAGGTGATGGAGCCACTTAGACTTCCAGGGTTCTGAAAAGGAATTATGCAAGTGATTGCAAACAAGCTACAAGCCCACAAAGGAGTCCACCACTTTGAGAAGTTTCAAGGTCATGTTTTCATCAAATGCAATTCTTCTTACTAAAAAGATCATTGTTTTGTTCTCCCTCTCATTTCCTTTGGGTGTTTGCTCAAATTTCACTTTATCATTGAGCTCGTCAAGGACCACCTGGGTGAGAACTACCTCCACATCATTCCATGTACTTAATCCAGTTTATTTTCTCTAGACATGTCTATCATCTTTTCCCCTTAAAGTGAAAGTTCTATAAGAACACACAGGTTCCTTCCTACTTTTTCACTAATATAGAAGCACTTCAAAAAAAGTACCATACAGATTCCAGATTGGATGTTTAAATGATAGCTATAATAACATAGTGTAACATACTCAAGTTCCTGTATAATGGTTAAAAATTCAATAGAAGTACATTAATTTTTTTCAAGACTTTAGCATGTATTTATTGATCATGTTGTATATTTAAGCTAGAAAATGATTATTCTGACCATTGCTTAAGACTTTGATTTAACTGCCATTAGTGATGCTTTTATTTTTATTTAGTGTGTGTGTGTGTGTGTGTGTGTGTGTGTGTGTGTGTGTGTGTGTGTGTTTGTGTGTGTGTGTGTGTTGTATTAGGGGTGAGTATATGCATGTATGCACATGCATGTGGAAGCAGAGGTCAATATTGGATATGTTCCTCAATACTTATGATTTGAGACAGGACCTCTCGCTAAACTGGAACTCATCTAATAAGCTAAATGGTCTAACCAGGGAGCTCTAGGAATCCTTCTGTCCTTCTGTGTCTGCTCCTCTAGCACTGGGAGAAAAGGTTTGGTTCTTGGCTTTTCGGTGTGGGTCATGGAGATCTAGACTCAGGTCCTCATGTATGCCCGGCAAGCGCTTGATTTACTGAACCAGCTCTGGTGCTGTCTTTTCAACCATTGTCTCTCCACTGTATATTCACACAATTCTGCACTTTAGGGCTGTCATGCTGGGGCTGGGGTTCTGCAGTCTACATGGCTCCTTTACCAATGGGCTTTCTCATAGGTTCTACCACTAAGTCACTGGATTGTTTCTTGGCATTCATTTCTTGCCCCTAACAGGATCACCTTGGTGGTTATACACTGTCATTCTTATCTTTAGACTTGCTTCCAGACT